TCTAAGAAAAAAAAAGCACGTTCTCATTCTATCGAAACTCTGATTAGAAATTCAACTTCCTATTTTTTATTAAATTAAGTAATTAATGACAAAATAACAATTCGGCAACATTTATTTATTGTAAATCTAGTGAAATCTACAGATATAATGTATACGTTTTTTTCAATAAATCTCTTGCAATATTCCTCAAAAATATTCCTATCCATTTTTCTTGAAATAACACAACAAACTATTTGGAATCACATATGTAGCCTTAAAGCCTTATCAAAATTCGTTTCTTCAAATTAATTTTCTACAACTAGATGTAGAAGTACTTCATTTTATTTAGTACTCTTTTACTCAAATATTAATTGAATTTATTTCTGTTCTGTTCTACTTTGCTTAGTTGCCATTATTTAAAGAAATAAGAATCTATAAGATGCACCTTTTAAATTAACAAATTTAAAACTTTTGAATTTTAAAAGTTTCAAAAGAAAATTAAAAAACAAAAAAAAAGAAAAAAATAAATTGAATATAACAACAAATATACTAAGAGAATAATTTTTAAAATAAAAAAGCTTTAATTTTACAATTTAAATTTAACTACAAATTCTGGTTTGAGACGATCAAAATCAAAATTAAAATTTCAATCTTCTATCTGAATCACTTATAAAAGCGAATTAATTTAAAATATTAATTAAAAAATTATTTATTTAGTAATGTTTTGATAATCGCCGCGTTCAATACATAATCTTTTATAGTTTAATCATTATTTTTTTATAAAATAATATAGAAAAAAATACAAAATTATAAAAATATGTTTTATAAAATAAATTCTAATATCAAATTTTTTATAAAATTAATAATTATTTTTTCATTTCAATTTAATTTTATATTATGTAAATATCATAATTTTAATAAAGATAAAATAACAGAATGTATTAAATGGGATGGTAATTTTTGTATTGAATTAAAAAATTATCCAAAATTAGAAATAAATAAATTAATTGAAGAGAATTATAATAATTTTTTTCCAATTGAACAATATAATGATTCAAAAATAGCTGATCGTAGTAGTGATGGTGATGATGATGAAAATGATCATTTATGTGATGTTTCATTAAGTGCACAATATCCAAAAGGTTTATTTAATATACATGGAACATTTAAATATATTATTAATCATGATAATTATACACAAAAGATACGTCAAGAATTATGTATGGGAGAACAACCAAAACATAAATTAAATCAAAATGATTTTAATGGTAAAATACCAAAATGTAAACAATATTATATAAGAAGACGTTTATTAACATATAATGGAACAACAATAACAAAAGAAAAATATCCAATACCATGCTGTTGTAAATTAATATTAGAAAATCAATTTGATAATGAATGATTTAAAATGTAATTTAAAATTAAATAATACTTAAAAAATTGTTATAAAATAAATAAAGTGAATGTGTACTTAACCTAAAATGTATTAATTTCTTATTTCTACATCTTAAAAATTAAAATATTTAGATCTTATGCGAAATCTATTCACTGAATTATACAAAATTTTGAAATTGAAAAAAGAGCATCAATGCTTCGCGAAATATCCCGTAATTGCCAGAAAACAAACAACTTATGCTCAAGTTAAAAAACAAAAGAATTATCCGAATATTCTACACTCCCATTTTTGACTGTATTTTTGACTTTCCTGTATTATCAAAGTTAATTAAAATCACCTATTCGATTTTAATTTAGCTCAATGTGATCTTACTTTTATTATAAAAAAGCCAATATTTTCAAGTCTACATACATTAGATTTTAATATTACGTATATTCTGATATTTTACACAACTACATACTATTATAACATAAAAATGCCTACGTTTATTTATTAAAATAATTTCAAATTTAATAGCGATACGATTAACGTTTGAAATAAACGATTGAATAGATGACTTATTCCTAAATATGCTTTATGTAAAGGTGTAAAAATAAATTAAACTAAAAATAAAACACAGAATAATTAATTAATCAGTAAATTAGGAAATAATTTTAAAAATAATTCAAAATTTAAATAAATTTTTTTATAGAATTCTTTAAAAAATTGCAAATTCTTAAATTAATGAACTTCAACTTAATTGTGTTATAATCACTTTGTGGGAAGAATTTGATTTAAAATGCAATATCGGGCTAAGTAATTGAATTTATGAAAAATTTCAATATTTTATATATACAATTTTCAATACAGCATATAACTTTGAAAGCATAATGAAATAATCACCTTCTTAAAATGAACAAATTAAAAAAAAACACAATTATGACCTTATAAATGTTTTAAAACGAGTTGAGCCTAAAATACTATTCTTAAGTTAACAAGCTATTCAATATCCATTTCAAACAGTTACTCTAATTTTTATTTTAATCCATTTGCACTTGTTATAGGACACGCAATATATTTTTATTGAAATCTAAAAAAAAAATTAGTTAGTATAAAATTTTTATATTATGAATAATTTGCCGGAAGCTTATTTATTCAAAACCTGAATAAATTTCAATTTATTTTGATAAACAACAAAAATTAATAATATACATATATTCTTATAGGGTAAGCTAATAATATAAATAACAGAAGTGATATGGATTATTGCACTTCTTAAAATACAAATACATAGTATAGATACAAACTAATTTAAATATGAACTTTAAACCTTTTAGCATCTTGAAAAATTCTACACTAAAAGATCTAATGATACATACATAGTTAAATATTTTGATTACAAATTTTTTAATTACAATATTAATTTGTATTAATTTCAACATCAGAAAAGCTTTAGAGCAGAAATAATAAACAAAAAATTCGAATTTTTTTATTATTTATATGTAATTGAGACACAAGAATACAATGAAAATAAAAAACTGGCTTTTAAAACTTGAATTATAAACTTTTAATATTATAATAATAAAAAAGTAAGTAAGTAGTAGTTGACTTGCACAACTTGCAAAACCCCAACACAAAAGATATTTATATTATTAAATAAAATGTTTATGTTATTATAAATCATATTACTATAGGATATTAAATAAATTCAACTATAATTTTTATTACAAAAATAATTTTTAAAATGAATAATTTTTAAAATTTATTTAGAAATAAAATTTTCTTTTAATAAAAATTTATAAATCTTTAGTAAAACTTTTTGAAAAATGTTGAAAAAATTAAATAAAAAATGTTGCAATAATCTGAGATGGCTTTGATGAAAAAGCCTAAGAATATGGGAATTGGGTAGAGTAAATCACGTAACCAAATTTGACATCGTACTGGAAACACCTGATTTAAATATTAAACTATCGAATTTAATCCAATATTGTTTAATATTTTAATTAAATAGAAACTCTGTTATCCTATAGACGTGATGAATTATGTTATTTTCCTGTCAATCAATCAACAATAATTTATTAGACTAACTTCAATTACAATATTCACGTGTTTTAACTTTTTTCATAACATAAAAACGTGCATAACAAAAGCAAGTTAAAATGAAATGAGCTTCCTGCTCAATCCACCCCAAAAATTATACTTGTGCCAGGTTTATATGGCAGCCACCTACTTTCCAATGAATATTTATTAATGTAAGAAACTATAATTTAAATAACTTCTTTGAAATGAAAAGCTTGAAACAAAAAAAAAATTAAAATTATCTCAGCTTTCAGCTTTCTGTTTTTTTTTTTGTTTTTTAACAAATACAATAACATTTTTAATACAAATATTAAAATAAAATGAAAATTTTCAAAGTACTATACAAATTCAAGTTTTTTATTTCTCTTAGGAAGAGAAAGGAGTAAGTAGACTCAATATTTTAAAAAACTATAATTTAGTTTAGTATTGCAACTCTATCTTAAAATTGTAAATAGTTAGTTAAATTAATATTTAAATTATTAAATTTTTAATGAAATAAATAATTTTCTTACATTTAATTTTTCAATTCAAAATGTATACTATTAAAAAATATTTTAAATTATATTATTTTTTTATATTTTTAATTGAATTTCTATCATTTAAAATTAAATGCAATTTTATTAATAATAGTAATAGTAATAATAAGAATAATCTAACAGATACTAATGAAATAAATAATTGTTTAGAATGGAAAGATGATTTTTGTATAAAAACAATTGATTATCCAAAACATGAAATCGAAAATCTATTAAATATACATTATAAACATTTTAATAATATTGAATTAAAAGATGATATTGTAATTGGTAATCGTGCTAGCTTTGAAGATGAAATAAATATATGTGATGTTATAAAAAATACATTAAGACCACAAAAAGCTAAAAATATTGCTGGAATATATAAGAATATATTAAATCATGACAATAAAAGACAAGAAATAAGACAAGAAATATGTAAAAGTAATATACCAAATCATCCAATAAAAAATCATTTACCATTTGGTTACAATTTAATATGCAAACAAAAGTTTAAAAGAAGACGTTTAATAACATATGATATAGATAATATTAAAAATGCATTTAAAATTGATATATTTCCAATAAAATCATGTTGTAAATTGGTAATTGGTTCGGAAGATGATGGCATTGATGAGAAAAAAAAATAAATTTTGATTACAGGAATAATTTGATTTTTTTCATTTCTAAAATATAATAATGGCCTTTTTCTTTTCAAACAATAGCCGTATTAAGCCCAGTTAAATATATGCGTAATATCCGGTTATTTTATTAAGTTATAACAATACTCTGGCCCTAACCTGAACTAACCTAAAACTTTTTATATTAACTGGGTATAAAACATTTATAGTTTTATGTTTATTTATGAAAGTGCTCAAATTCTTATCATCACTTCAATAAAATGTGCAAACTATTACATTCTAACCTCTAGATCTATTAAAAGATTATTTAAAAGTAAATCCAACATTACAAATGGAATAGTTTTTTTTTTTTGTTCAATTTTTACAAAACCATAGAATTTTACTAATAATTTATTTTAAATCACTTACCGATACATTTTCCGTCTCTTAAACTATAATTTTCTGCACATTTCATACACATATCAGGACCATCACCAGTACATCCTTTACATGATCTATCACATTCAAGACATGAATATGATCCTTCATTATTAACACAAAATTGATCAGTAGTACAAACTTTCGGATTTTCAACACATTCATTTATATCAAAACATCCAACTTCTGGATTCATAACCCATCCATTTTTGCATTTTCTACAGCCTTAAAAGAATACGTATATAAGGAGGTATGTTAAAAAATGCATAATCATTTAAGATATATAAATTTAAATCAATACCTTTTGGACTTGCGCCTGTACAACCACCTTGGCCACAAGAAACATGACATGGTGTACAAAGTAATTTTTTTTCATCTCTATATGATTCATAATATTCAATATCACAATCCATACAAGAATCACCAGAATAACCAGCATCACAAGCACATTTACCATTCCCTTTACGTGTTCCATTACCTTTACATTTGCCTACAAAAGAAAAAAAATATTAATCATAAAAATTAGAATATTATTCATATTAGCTAAATTATACCATTTCCATAACAATCACTACATTTTAAACAATCAGGACCATAATGATTTTCAGGACAACAAACTTTCAATTTATCGATACAAAGCCATGAATAAAGGTCAGGATTTTCAGTTTGTTTATTAAACCACCATTCTTCTAATAATTCTTCACTATCACTTGCCAATGTATGACATTGATCTTGTCCTCGTTTAACATCAGAACATAAAAATTCTTGTATTTCTGTTAGACGAAGTTCACTGTTTTTATAACTACCAAGTTTTTGTTCTTCCCAAGCTGCGTCACCACCTTCATGTTTTCCTCTTTCAGTTTTTTTTAATCCCTAAAAAAAGATAAAAATTTAACAAAAATATAGGTATTTAAAAATAGATAAAAGAAAATTTCATGCCATGTATTTAATAAAAGATTATTTACCGAATTAAATGATTCAATTAAAACGTGGCATGCCCGGCATGGAGGTAGAGATGTTGATTTTTCTTTTGAATCTTTAGAAAAATTAACTGGAGGCTTTTTTATTTGAGCATTTATTTCCAATATACTAAAGACAAAAATTATACAAGCCGTAAAAAAATATAATTTGCTCATTTTTTTTTCGTTTAAAGCTTTAATAATGGGAGATTAACTTAATTCTAATTAACTTTTGATGATTTTTTTACTACAGCGCCGGTTTTTTGCTTTTCCGATAATTGTACGTTTTTTCTGCTTTTTATGAACTATATTATCAATTTAAATTTGAAATAAATAAATAAATGCTGCTATCACCCGATTAAAGTGATTTGTCACTAATTAAAACTAATTTCTGATCCTGTTTTTTATTATTTTTTTGGTGTTTATATCACAAATTAAATTACAATGTATTAAGAAAATCATGAGGAAATCAAAATCTGAAAAACAGCTGTTTAAAAATCTGACGTGTTCTTTCATTTAATTGTAAATAAAATAGTTTCTTACATGAAAAATAGATGGCAATTTGACGTTAAATAGAAATAAAAAAATAAAAACCCTTGTAGCAAAAATTAGTCGAATTTATACAATGGCATCATTGTTGGAAAAATGAAAGTACATCGACAATTCAAACCAATCTTTTTTACGAATTTAAGATAGGTGATTATTTGCAAAAGTTTTCAGAAGCTCAGCGAAGCAGATTGATCTTTGTTCGTTTTTTTCACCAAAGCAAAAAAATGTGTTCTTTTTTAAGATCAAAGCCATATTCAGATCGCGTTCGAAATATTTTTCGAAAAAAAATTGTGGTTTAACAGATCTCATATTCTATTTTGATATTGACACAAATTTGGAAAACTATTGAATGGCGAATGACTTCCATAGACTTATTTTTAGAAATTACCACTCTCAGCACTCTCCGACGACAATATTTTTTCATCTGATCAGAGCATCATGTTCTTTTGGCTTTCAAATAAAAATCTCAAATGATTCTTGGATTTGTAAGATAAAGATAATGTAACTAAAATAATTGGGTATTTTTGGTAGAAATAATATTTGTAAGCCAAATAAAACTATTTAAATGAAGGCACAATAAAATTGTGACTTGCAATTAAATGAATTCGTCAGTTTAAAAGCCATAAAACTATAAAAGAGGATTTCACTCAATTGATTGAATCAATTTATTGAATAACAATTTTTGTTATTGAAACAAAGCTGATTCAATAACAACTGACGGCTTAAACCGATGAGTATTTGATTGATGATTTGAACCAACTTCCGTAATTGAGTCTTTTAAATATTTATTTTTCCTGCAAGTAGGCAGTAATTTATTATTTTTTATATTAAAGCAAATAAATCCAGAGCAGATCATAAGACTTAATTATTATTGGTTAAAAAATTTAAATTTAATAAAAACACAAAATTTTGAATTGTTTTTTTTTTTTTGTATTTTTAATTTTATTAAAAGATTTTCTTTTTAAACTTCTAAAATATTTATGTATCTTTAAATAAATTACATTATTTCTGCTTTCCTTCATTTCACATTGTATTCTGGTCTTTCTATTATTTTCTCTAGATTCCTTTTCATTCCTTTTTGTTTTTTTTTTAATATATTCGCCGTACAATTTATTATATTTCTTTTTATACATTATTACATTGAAAAAATTTTATTGCAGAAAAAAAAAACAAAATGTTTCTTATTTAAGTATTTAATAATTATTAATAATAAAAACACACTACAAGATACATAAATTTTAAAAATATTACATATTTTTTTTTTGTATTTTTCTTTTTTTTTTTATATTATAATTATAAAATAATATAATATTATAGGAGACAAGACTAGGTGTAATGTTTTAATATTTTCTACCATTATTTTAATATTTTCTATTATTATTATTATTTATTATGTTTCTTATATATTAAAATCTACAATCTTCTTTTTTATTTTATATTTTTTTAATAAAATTAATTTTATTGTAAAATTTATTTTTCGTTTTATTATGTGTATTTAACGTTGGGTTTTATGCTATAGAAATATTTATATCTTTAAAAAAAATGAATTTAAATGAATTGAAAATAAGAAAAAAGCCCTATATGAGATAAATAACATTTAAAAACTATTTAATTTATTATAAAAATTTAATTTTATATAGATTATTGAAAAATTTGTATTTAAATTACAAAAAATGGTGTTTATAAATTCGAAATTGGATTTAATATTGAATTGAATAAAACTTAAATTAATTAAAATTTAAATAACTCAATTCCAATATAAAAATGAATATTAATAACAATTAAATAAAAAGTTACACAAATTAATTTTAATTTAATAAATGGTTTTTAGTTTTTAATTTTAAATTCAAATAAAATTAAAACAAAATTATTATATAAAAATTAATAATTAATAGTTTTTAAATATTATTTATCTATATGTATTAAATATTTTAATCAAAACGAATATTTCAATTTTTAGAAATTTCTTATTTTCGGGCAATGTTATCATAATGGGATAATAACACTTTATAAAAATTAAAAATATTACTGAAATCCTAAAATCAAAAGAAAGAATATTATTTTAAATACATTTATGTATATAATATACTAATTTAATTTTTGCTTTTAAATCTTTGTTTATAATAATATTTTATTTATAAGAATTTAAATTTTATGATAAAAAAATAATTACTTACAATTTTTGTGTACATATTTTTACTTTTTTCTTTATAAATTATACAATTACTTTAATTTTTTTTTTTTATTATTTATATTCTATATCAATATATAAATATATAAAAAGCATATACAATTTTTTAATATTTTTAATTAAATATTTGCCATAGTTTTTATACTTTAATGTAAAATTATTATAAATTTTCTTTTTTAAGTAAAATTCGATATAATATTATATTTTAAATATGTATAAACTACTAAATTGAGTTTATTAAATTTAATGAAAAGCATACTCTTAGATTAAGGGAAAGTAAAAGTCTTTCACCAAAATATTTGAAGTTTTTACAATTAAAAAATCTCAATTAGAATCGTCATTTGAAGAAAATTAATTATTTAAACTGATCCTAATTATAGGTATAGTCTACCTGAAAATTCATACATTTTTGGATTATGATCTTATTTGTTTAAATTTTAAAACAATTTCTGATTTACAATTTTTTGAATTTAATCTCGTAAATAAATATAACAATGCAATTTTTTTTTTTTTGCATCTCATGCAGTAATGTTATAGATTTAGATTAATTCAATTCAAAATGAAGAACTCAAATATTAGGATTTATAATCGAAAAATAAAGGAAATAAACAAAGGAGATAAATTTTTATTAATATAAATATAAATTTAATTATACATTTTTTTATAATTTTCTAACATATGCAATTTTATATAAAAAAAATTATAAAAATTATATGTTTCCTTATTCTTCAAAATTCTTTTAAGAAAATTTATGTTTAATTCTACATTAAGAGTACATAAAGAAAACGTTTTTTTTGTATATAATTTTTTTTTTCCATTTTTATTTAATTTTATATTTTGTATAATAATATAAATAATGTATATTTTTGTTTGGCAGTAAAAATTAAATACAATTTTTTTTTTCAAATAAATTTTAAAATAGATACCAATAAAAAAGAATATTTGTTTTAAAAGAATTTTTCTTTAGTTTTTTGAACTTTTGAAAATTTGTTTAAAAAAATTTAACATTAAAATTATAGCACACATAGTAAAATATCAAAAATATAAAAACAAAAATTAAGAAAATTAAATTTTAAAATTCCAATCGAATAAAATTGTAAAATATTGAACAATATGTGTAAAGCAATTTTTTATAAAAAAAAAAAAATTATTTTTTCAATTAAAAATTCAAGTTATTTCAAGTATAAATTAAAGTCATTTAAATTACAATTAATATATTGTTATTACAAAATATCTTGAATTAGTATAATTAAAATACCAGCAGTTTTACCACATCCAAAATAACAAAATAGTAACAGAAGGATATTTTAATAAAATAAATAAATTATTGTATAATCATTTTATTTCTTGTAAGTTTTAAAAGTTTTTATCATAAGAACAAAAACAGTTTTTATCAATATTATTGAAATTTTTATAAACATAATTTTTAATAAAATGAACCTAAGAAAAACCAAACTTTACTATAATAATTATGATACGAAATATTAACAAAAAAAGCAAAAGAAAAATTATTTTTTTTTGTTTTTTTACATAAATATCAATATATTTTAAACTAATAAATATACAAACTTTTTCATCAATAAAAAAAAAAAAGGAAAACATTTTTACATAAAACAGTTTTTAATTTTTTTACTTTTTTGTTTTTACTTAAAATATTAATTTGTTTTAAATTTTGTATAATATTCAAAAAAAAGATCAGATAAACAGTACAGTTGACAATTAAATACAAAAATATTCGCTTTAAAAAATTTGTTTTTGTTTTTTTTTTGTTTTTGGGGTAAAATTATCAATTTTTTGTATTCATCAATTAAAATTTTCTTTTATAAATTTAAAAAAATAAAACATTTAAATTAAAATAGAATTTAATAAAAATATTTGAACCTAAAATTTTTTATAGAATTTTAATTACATTAAGAGATACAAAAGTATTTTTATAAAATGTTATTTTTTTATTCCACATACAACGGGTATATTTAGTTAAGTAAAATGATTTGTAAAATTAGGACACAAAATTGTGACCATTTTTTTATATTTATTTATTATTTTTATTATTATTACTATGTTTTGATACCAAATTTATATTATATTTAGCCATTTTTAATTTGAAAATGTTTATACTATTTGGGTAATACTAAGTTTATTTAATTTTTATTTTAATTTTTATTAATTAACAATGTAACCCCAAAATGTTTATGAGAAAATAAGAATATTTTCTGTTTTTTTCCTTTGTTTTTTTTTTTTTGTTTTTAAATATATAATAAACATTATTCAAAAAGTGCATTACTTTTTTCATTATCAAGTTTTAATTTTTTAGCACAAGGCATATTTGTATTGTTATCATCTAAAATTATTTTGTCATCATTATTTTCTGTGTCCTCTGATTGATTAACATTAGAGCTTGTTACTTCATTTAAAGTAGAAGTCGAAGGAGAAATTATTATAGACTTAGATGTAGTAGAAGAACAAGAAGAGATGAATTTATTACTTAATATATCATTATTTTCAATATTATTATTACAACTAGCGTTATTATCGTTATTTGCAGAAGATTTTAAATTAGAATTACAATTTTTTAAATTAGTTTTATTATTATTATTATTATTGTTATCAGCTTGATTAACTGATATTGTCATATTATTTTGTTGATTTTTATTATCTAATAATGGTAGTCAATCTTCTACAATTAATTTTTTTGCTTGTTCCCATGCAAAACCATCTCGTCCAAAATGCCCATAAGTACTTGTACGCTGATAAATTGGTTGACGAAGATTTAAATCCCTACAATAAAAAAAAAAAAATCATATATATAATACATAAACATACATTTGTAATTTTATTAATTGCAACATTTTAAAATATTTAAACTTACTTAACAATTTTACCAGGTCTTAAATCGAAATTTTTCTTAACAATATCTAATAGTTGCTGTTGTGTTTTCTTTGATGTACCATAATCAAATACAGTTATTGATAATGGTTCGGCTACACCTATTGCATATGATACTTGTACTAAACATCTTCTACATAAACCAGCTTTAACTAATGATTTTGCTACCCATCTAGCTGCATATGCAGCTGATCTATCAACTTTTGTAAAATCTTTACCAGAAAATGCACCGCCACCATGTGCACCCCAACCACCATATGTATCTACAATAATTTTTCTTCCAGTTAAACCAGCATCACCCATTGGGCCACCAATATGAAATAGACCACATGGATTAATATGTACAACTGTATTAGCATCAAAATATTGTTGTGGTATAACATCTTTAATAATTTTTTCCATAACTTCTGTACGTAAATCTTCCAATGTAATTTTTTCAGAATGTTGTAATGATACTACAATTGTATGACAACGTTTTGGTAAACATGCACCTTGTACAAATTCATATTCACATGTAACCTTTAATTGAAAATAACATTAAAATACATTAGGATCGCTAAAAAAAAGTTACTTCATAATGATAACAAGTTAAGGCCTCTAGTTCTTAAAAACAAAAAAACTAAAAAAAAATCTGAATTTCACTACAAAGTGCTTGTATTTACAAAGAAAATCAAATCAATAGTTACAGCAGTACTATAAAATTTTATTATTATCATACTGAATATTTTTATAAAAAATTAAAATCGATTTAAAATTTGATTCAAAAGCATACCAACCTGTTGAACTAACTAGAGGCATTAAAATAAATAGTTAATCAACTTTATAATAACTTTATACCTGTGTTTTAGAATCAGGTCTCGCCCACCAGAATACGCCAGATCTTCGTAAATCAGCTATTTTTTGATTTAGTCTATGTGCTAAGACAACTGTTAATGGCATACATTCTTCAGTTTCATCGGTAGCATATCCAAACATTAAACCCTAAAATTTTTCATATTAAATAATTAAAATTTATAGTTTTATATTTAAAAATTAATAATTTTTTTAAAACTTGATATTATGTTATTATAAAAATAGTGGAAAAATGAAAGCAAATATATCACATTAGTATACACTAGCAAAAATGCAAAAATTAATAAAATAAATGAAAAACCATGCAAAAAGGTACGTCATTCCAAAATAATGAATGTAATTTTGAAAATTTTTAAAAGCAATGAAATGAGTCTTATTTAATTTTATTATTAAAAATACACAAATATTATGTAAATATGAAGAAGAAATGAAAATATCAATTTTTTTTTCATACATTAAATAAAACAACTTAGAAAAAGAAATAATTTTGATCAAATTTAGCAATGTAAAATTGGTTCCAAAAAAGAATTCAAGTTGTAGTTGCCAATTTCATTTTGTATTTAAAAACAATTTTAAAAAAAATTATTTTCTCCTTAAAGAACTCTAAAAATTTTGTAGTCTAGGGCCAAAAAAAGTGCCATACTTATGATTTTTTTCAATTTTAATTCAAATAAATCTACTAAATAATTACTTTACAGTAAAAGAATTATATAAAATTAGAGCAAAATTAAAAGCGGAAATACTGGCACAATGCATAATACTATTTTTTCTTTATTAAAAAATTGAATTCAATAATCCTTTTAGCTAAAATCCTAATATGTGGTAATATAATTTAAAAAAATTGTATATAAACAGTAAAAAAAAAAATTAATTAAAAAAAAAAAAAAATCAGCCCTATCATGAATTCCGTTCGCAGCCTTGAAATTCCAAAAATTACCAATGTCATATTGCCAAATCCGAAGTACTAAAATTCTGCTCCGAATATTGGTAGAAGATTAATAATAATTTACGTTCGTAGTAAAAAATAAAACAATAGCAAAAAAAAAATATAAATAAAAAGTTGAAATAAAATATAGATTTTGACACTCCGAAAAATTATGCTGCCATTACTGCTAGTATATAATCTCTATGAACGGAATTTGTGATCATTTAAAAGTCTTCGTCGTAACTAAGTGCATAATTGATAGAACTCTACGAGTAGAATTTATGATAGAGGGCTGTATATTTATTTTAATAACAATTTTTTTGTTTTTTCATTTATTTCAAAGAAAAACTAATAAGTTAAAGTATGAAGACAATAAAAAAAGCATACATTGTGCCAATATCAAATAAAATTTGTAAAAATATTTAATTATAAAATTAAGAAATTGTGAAAAAAAGGAAAAATTATTCGATTTGGTATTTGTTTTGTGTTTTTTATTGTTATTCTCTGACCTGATCACCAGCCCCAATTTCTTCTTCAGATCGATTTTCATGTACACCAGCTGCTATTTCTGAAGATTGCTGATCCAAAGCTAATAATACATTGCAGGTCTTACAATCGAAACCTTTGAAAATGAAAAATATTAAAGAAAATAATGCGAGGAAATAACTAAATAAAAAAAAATTAAGTATTTTGGTTTTCTTTCTTTTTTTCTAGAAATTTATATTTGCTTTAAAAAAAATTACATATGTTTTCGTTTCAGTTCCGTACATGTTTTTTTTTTATGTTTTATGATTTCCTAACTATTTATTATATAAATTTTTTAAGTTTAGATATGATATGTTTTATGTACCTATTGCAAAATTTAATATGCAATTCTCCCCAAAAAAAAAAAAAATATGAGAATATATTTCATGCATTTTTGTTAATTAATAAAAATTAACACGTGCATTTAATTATATAATTTATATCTTAAGTAATAATATATGGGCCACTTTCTTTATAAACCTTATACAAATATAATACTTAAATTTGTTCAATTAAATAAATTTAATTTGAATTTTGCTTTAAGTTGCAATTTATTTAAATTTGAAATTATTTTGGGATTTTTCTTTTTTTTTTTTTGTTCTTCTTTAATTTATTTAAAATAATTAGCATGCTTTTAAAACGTAAATATTAATTCATCACTTAATTTGGTTTTTTGCAACTACACTTGTCTATTCTTTTATTTTACACTCACTTCCCCCAAATTAAGAAAAAAGAACAATGGTTTAATAAAATGAATGATGGACAATCACAAACACTGTTTAAAAATTTTTATAAAATGAATTTTCCCTATTAGAATGGGATTTTTGTTTTTCTTTTGTAATTTCATATTAATTTCATAAAATAAATGATTAGAAAGAACAAAAAAAAATCGTTGTTCAGCAAACCCTTTTTCAAAATATTTAAAAAAAAAAAAAAAAAAAACTTTTCGAAAAAGTTAAAAAGAGATTTTTTTTTTCAATTTTTATTTATTTTGTATAGAAATTAGTAAAATATGGATTTTTGTTTCTTATTTGTAATAGATTAAATAAAAATTTAAAAAAAAAAAATTAATATTTCCCCATATTTTTAATACCTGATCACCAGCACCAACTTCATCATCATGTCGATTAATGTGTACCCCATTCGCGATATTTGGGGATTGTTGTTCAATAGCAACCAATAAATTTAGTGTACTCCAATCAAAACCTTATTTATTTTATTTTTTGTATTTTAATATTTTTCTTTTTATAATTTTATTTTGTAATTTGTATTTGAATTTGTATTGAATTTAACTTTTATGGATATTTATAAAACAAAAATATGTAAATATATTTGATTTTTCTTTTTTATAAAAAAAAAATTTAAAAACCCAAAAACAAAATATTATAAAATTTTCTGGTTTCCAAAATCAAATACTTTTCTATTAAGAAAAATGAAGAAAATATCTATTTATTTTATAAAAAACTATTATTTTTATTAAAGACATATAATTTTTCTTCATTAATTTACTAGATTAAATTTAAGAGTTACAATATTTAAAAACATTAAATTTTTTATGTTTTTGAAAAAAAAGAAGCCAAATATTTTACTATATTTTTTTTTACAAATATACACAATTAGATTGTATTTGAAACAACAAAAATCTATAAACCTAATTTATATGTTCCAAAATATTTATTTTTAAAATAAAATTTACCTTTAGAGGAATCATCATAACCAATATGTTTTACTGTTTCTCTAACAACTTTTTGATAATCTACGACCGCTTTTGATGTAATTTCACCGCATAATAATATCATTCCAGTTTTGGCAACAGTTTCTAAAAATAAGACAAAAATATTTATTAACAAAATTTTTTTAATAATCTAACAATATATTTATAATAAACATAAAATTGAATAGTAAAATTATTGAAAAAATTTGAATGAAGTATTTTTTTAATATATCAGAACAGTTTTTTTTTTCATCATGCACTTTTATTCAAGAGTAGCAAATAATCTAAATGAAATTAGATACATCATCACTTAAAAAACTTCATTCTCAATTAAAAAAACCCGGAGCACGTCACTACCAGGTTTTGAACCTGCACATTCCTAAACAGAATATATTTTGTAATGAAAACACTTAACCCCTGTGCTATACTAGGTTTTGGTACTATTAATGCATTTATTGTAAAAATGGTATTTTTAATTTATTAAATGTAAACAAAAAGCCAATTGATTTTCAAATTAGAATTCTGAGTTTTTTTTTATAATGGATTTCATTTCTCCAATAAGATTTTTTTTTATTTTTTAATTTGTGTTTCTGTATTTTTTTTTTTTGTCAAATTATCGCTTGAACCTATCATACTCAAAAACAAAATTAATAAATAATAATTAAATTTTGTATATATTTTAAAAAAAAAACCGATATACGAAATACGGACAAATTCTTCGAACTCGAAAAGTACATAAAGTAAATATATGATGGTCATTCACCACCTTCTCTCACTTGGCCGGTAAAATGGCATGATACACGATCGATTTTTAATATTATCGGCAATATTTGAGAATAAATTTATTTTATATTAAAAATTTATTTATATTAATTAAAGTTTATTTTATATTGCAATTTTTGAACTAATTTTTCGACTGCTATTGTAATTTACAAATTAATTTTACATAATTCAATTATATATAATTGAAATTGGGTAATTATGTAAAATTAAATAATTCAAATTAAAAGAATATAAATTTTCAATAAATTATAAAAAATAAATAGAAATTATGAAAAATAAAATATAGCATAATATCAATGACCATCAAACATGAAAATATAAAAAGTATTAATTTTTTTTTTTTTTTTTTGGCAAAAATTCCAATTGTATGCGCTAAAAATAGAAACAAAAAGTATCATGGGTGGCGGGTAATAACAAATGCAACATACCTACATTTTTTTTTTTTAAATACACAAATATTTCTATATTTAAAAAAGAAATTCTTTCAAAATCCTTAAATTCGTATTAATTGTATATATGCTCTAATATCGAAATATGAAAACTCAAATTATAGAAAGTTTTAAATTAATTCTATGATTTCTTTTTTACGTTCAGTAAATGCGATTTATAATTTCGATTAACCTTTTAGCATTTCTTTACAACAATCATATATGGCCGAATTTAAATTATGATTAAAATTACAAAGTTATTACCAAATAATTTGTTAAAAATTTCCGTTGTACGTAGTTAATTTTTTTCTGTTTTTCCTTTCCAGTGAATATATTTAATATTTTTATCTTAAAGCATAATGACGTATTGCACACGTAATTATTAATACCGATTTCAATTAAATTTTATTTATTTTCTCGTTATGGCTATGAAAATTAACTATGAATCATATGATGTGTTAATTAAAATCGTTATGTATTATAAGATATGACTTCAATATTTTATAGTATTTTTTAAAATAGTGTATTTTAAATACGTAATGCATTATAACTTGTTTTTGTCTTAATTAGTATAAATATATTTCATATTTCTAATAAAAATTCATATGAATTTATTTAAAAAAAAATAGTAAATGAAAGTTGAATTTTTTTGTTTAAAATGTAAATTTTAAGGGTAATTTTTGTTTTAATAATTACAAAATTTCTAGATTATATGCTAGGTTTCATCATTAAATTTTCATAGAATCAAAATTAAAAATATGAAATTATCAATTTTAATTTTTCGTTAAATAGCAAAGTTTAAAGAAAAAATCAATTCTACAATCATATAAGGTTTTGACAGAAAAATATTCAATTTCATTAATTTTGAAGCAGAAAAATTAATTTAATTAATTGAAATTTTCAATTCTATTACAATTGATCCAGAAAAATTTTTTCTATTTAATTGTTCCATTACTTTTGATACAGAAATATCTATTTAATTGGAAAAACTTTAAATATTAATTAAAATCTTTTTAAATTTCATTCAAAAATTCAATTTTCCCAAAAATAATTAATTCATTACGAAATTTCCCAGGTTTTAGCAGTATCACTGATCTCTTTTATGGGCAAATGAAGTAGAATTTGATTTCAATTTAATCAAGAGTTCATATTATAAAAAAAAAAAATAATTACACATGTAGATACTAGTTTTTCTCTTAAATTACCATTTCAAAACTAAAAAAAAAAAAAAACGAAAATTTAATGAAAATATAAAATATATTTGATACTTACCGCAAGCAACTTTAGCATTAGGATCTTGTTGCAAGTGTGCGTCTAATATAGCATCAGAAATCTGATCGCACATTTTATCTGAAATATTAAAAACAAAAAATTTTTTATTTATTTTTTTAATCAGCATTAAAAAAATTTTGAAACAAAAGAAATTTCTAAGTAAAAATAAAAACAAAATTATAAAATCAAAAAATTATCATATTGTTGTTCTAATAATTTTTAAATATGAAAATGAAAAAAAAGAAGAAACGATTGCTTTAATTTTATTTTAAAATAGTGTCAGCAAAAAAAAAAATTTGCATATAAAACTAAAATAATAATTAAGAAATCAAAAGGCACCTACTTAAAATAATGTCTGGACAGTAAGGATCATTTAATATGCTTGAACTGATAAAAAATCATGTTACATATAAGAAAAGAAGTAAAATAAATAAACATGTGTTTATTTTTGTGTTATTATTTTTGTTTTTTTTTATGCCTTTTTAAATTTCTCAAAAATCTAAATGATACCATTTCTTTGTAAAATTGTAGATAATGAAGTTGTATTATCTGTTTAAGCACGTGCCCTTTGAAATGTAAGAAAAAACAATTGTTTTTTCAATTCGACTGTATGAATTAAGGGAAAAAAAAATAAAGTTTTTGGAAATATGAAATTACGCAAGTAAGCATATTAAGGAGTTATTAAAGAAATTACAATCTAGACTGGAAAATAAAATCTAATTCTATAAAAATTTTGTTATGTAAGGAGAAGCGTTTGATTTCTAATTTTTCAAATAATTATGACTTTATAGCATTTTTATAAATACTTCAGTAATACTAAAACTGTTCTAACTTGTAGTACAAAACTAAGTATATATTGTTTATAACATTAATTCTTATAATGGGTGTGATTTTATTACTTGATATAAATTACTCCTAGTTTGACCGATTAATATCCTAATTAGTAAGACATTTAATGGAAAATCTAATAATATTAAAATAAATTTTTAAAACTTGTATTTAAATAATTCAAAATATTTTGGCGTACCTGAGATATAGCATGATTTTTCATTTTCAAATAATTTTATTCAAAGATTTCTTATTTCTACCTACTTACATTATACATAAATCCATAAATAAACAAATTTCAAAACAAAAAATGCTATCTAAATTGCGCAAAAAATTTTTAATTTTGAAAAAACAAAATGTTAAAATCGAAAATAAAAATAAATAAACAGAATAAAATAATATTCATTTTTTATAGATAGTAGATTTGTAGAGAATGGTCATTCAAAATTATAAATTTTTTGTTATTATAATTTACATAAATTCTCTCTAATCAAAATTATAAATAAAATTCAATCTATTCAAATTAACTAATCTATCCAGTTTTATTTAATTTAGACGTTCAAATTTTTTCTAATTGGCCTATAGATAATGTTTCTTTTCCCATAATAATTAAAAATCATAAATAAATTATGCAATAAACAAAATTTAACATCAAAATTAAATTAAACATAACATTAGTAAATATACTAGATTTAAAGAGTAAAAATTCCAAAAACATTTTATAGAAATTTTTTACAAAATACCTTGATATAAACAATAGGAAAAAAATAAATTTAAAGTATACAAAATAAATAAATTTGATAAGTAAACAAAACCCAAACAAAATCATAATTTTCACTTTGATATTATTAAACATAGGCACCTACTACAATTACATACTTACATTTAATCATTAAAATTTAAAACTCTTATCATATAGTACAATCTTAACTTTTAATTGGTCACAAATTAAATACCTAGACAATTGAGCGTAAATCTATAGAAATAATTTGTTCAGTGAATTTTTTTTTTTAAACTTTCAAATTTTGTTTTTTCACTTTCGTAGGTCAGTTTTATTGCTTTACTCAGCATGTCAACTTTTCTATTGCGTATACATACAATAATTGAAAGTTTAGATGAAATTTGAACGCAAAAACATTTGAAGAATAAGAATAGATAAAATTGTAAAAAGGCAAAGAAACGTAGTATAATATCAGCTACATATATCTACTGGCGTACCTATAGTTACTATACCAATAGCTATAACTGGTATAATAATAACAGTACATATAATAATATGTATGAATTTACAAATGCGTTCGCTTTTTTTCACTGATAAACTGAGAAAGAATACTTGAACCTGAACCTAACCTTACAAAAATTTCAATTTTCAATTTAAAATATTAAACACGTGCTATTTTTGGTATATGGGTAGGTAACTACACATGTAAAATAAAAAAGTTTTTACATGTGATGAAGAAATTGAATGATATAAAAAATAAACAAAAAAAAGTTTCAATGAATGTTTAGCGAAAAATCGATAGATATGTAGGTACTAAACTTTATTTGTGATTAGAAAATATTGTATGTAATGTAAAATATAAGTAGACATTATCATATTTAATATGATGCAATTTTTTAAAAAATTCCATTATGTAAACCTAATATATTCTAAATAGCCTTAATCTCCTATTTTTATAACCCAAAATTGGAAAACATTAAAACTAATCTAGTGAATTTAATAAATAAATCATGTTAAAATCAGTTTAAACTAATTATCAGAAATAATATTTATTTAACTTTTAAATAAATAATTTTAAAAAATTATTAATTTTAATAAGAAATAAAATTCTTTTTCAAGTTTTATGACCCCTTTCTCTTTCTAAAATCTTAATTTTTTATAATTAAATTTTTTTTATGCCTAAACAACAATAAATTACGATTTATTTTTTTTTTTTGATTCGATTCTTATACCGGTTTAAATTTCATTAATAAAAAAAATATTTAAAAAAAAATTGAAAGGTAGTGTTTTTTAGGAATTTTTAATAAAATTTTGTAATTATGTTTATACCTACCTACTTACCTAGGTGCCTACTAATAATATTAAAACTTCTTGTTAAAATTAAAACTATAAAATAGAGAAGTAATTGTAGAAGGTAACCAAGCAGGACCATCTTATAGAATGATTATAAATTTTATACCTATTAGTTTTTACATATTAACATAATATATAGCCAAGTCATATTTATAAAAAATGTAGGGGATATGTAAGCTAGATTTCCTAATTAAATTTTTACATCAAACTTTTTAAATATTGTATGATATGAAAAGAAATCTATTTGCCTAGTACCTACCTAGTTAAGTAGAAACTACTTCTTATTAAAAAGTAAAAAAAGAAATCCATTAAATTATAGTTACCATACCGTATATTTTGATAAATTGCATTAATATGTTTAAATGAGTATTTTAAGAAAATTTAGATCTAATTTAGATCATAAAGCATGTTTAATAAATCTTTACTTCGAAATAAGTACATTCGAAAATTATAGAATGCTTTTAAAGCAAATCGTTTTTAGAAAAAATTCTGTAAATGATGCAAAAATATTTTTAAGATTAAAAAAAATTCAGATAGAAAAATGAGAAATATTAAAAATTTCAAAATATAAACTTGTTAACTAATTTTTGTGAATCTAGGTAAGGATGCCCGGAAAAGGTTTTTAAAATTTAAGCTAGAATTTTAAGTTTAGCATATCTGAATTATCGAAAATTCCTAATACTAATAAAGTACTAGGAAGTACCTACATAAATAGCTACGAATATTTTTAATTCATGTAATCAACATTTTACTTTAGTTCATTGATAAAATCTATAATATTGTAACACCTACTATAATAAAAAGGCACATGTTTTAAAAAACACTATGAAGCAATTAAATTGCAATTAGCCATTATAAATGAAATATTAACTATAAAATGTAACAACATATGTATTGATATGTGCACAATCTGTACCTACATATTATGTAGGTACGTATATAGGTAGCAAAATTAATTTTATAATTAAAAACAATATCATTGCTGTTGAAAATGACAGCAGAAAATAAAAACACATGGTTTTTAGAACTGAAATAATGTTGTTGTTGTTGTGGTTACTTTTTTTCCTTGTCGTGTTTTTTTTTCGGTTTGTTTTGTTTTTCTTCTTTTTCGCCTTAATACTAAAATTGTCTGACAAAAAAAAAACAGAAAAAAAGCAAAATTGCATATTAAATTTCGCAAATTTCAATATTTTTTTTTTCCTTTTTTTTTCTACTTTTGGCTCTTCTTTAAAATAATTTCTTATTTTATGCAATAATACATTAGATATTGAAATAACGCGTGGCTAAAAGTACAAAAAAAGCAAAAAAACAACCAAAAATTTAAAGGAAAATTAAATAGAAATACGTAATTTTCATGAAAAAAAAACACAAAAATAAAATTTTTTATATTATAGAAGGCGCCATTTTGTTACCCCCTAAATACAATAGAATATTATTAGAATTTTTGTTTTTATCAATTAAATGAATTCAAAATAATTGAAAATTAAATTTCAAATTAAATACTTTGTATATTGAAAAATATTTCTTTCATAATGATTGCCAATCCAATTGATTCTTTTCTATAAAATTCAAGAAAATTTTTGATATTTACTGGCATACTTTAACTAAAATAAAATGAAAAATACTTAATTTAATAATTAAGAAAAAATACATTAATATTGAAAATTTCTACAAAGTTTATGTACAAATGTCCTTGATGAATCTTTATTTTTATCTCAAGAAAAATTGCAATCAAATTAAAATCTAATATGGGCATTATGTACAAATATTAAAATTCTAACCTAAAATTTGGATTAAATTTGGTTCATACTTCCTTATTTCGTAAATATTGTAAAAAAAAAAATTGAATTACCTGGATGCCCTTCACCAACTGATTCAGATGTGAATAGGAATGTTTGTCCATCTTCCATGTCATATAGTGCACTATGACCATTTGAATAACCATTAACTGATGATGTCTGTGGCATTTTGTTTCAATTTAAAAGTTAGACGTCTTTATGGTAAAAATATTTTCCAATGATAATTTTCAAAATTTTCTTCTTATTACAGAAATATTTTAATTCTTCCTTTAATGGTTAAGGTTATGCGTAATTTCCAATGCCTTCTCTCAGACAGTTTCTAGATATGCCAAAAATTTTTTCTTTAATAAAGTCTCCAACGTATTCAGAAAAAGTGTATGTATATACAATATTGATGAAAAATCCTCTTTCCTTTTTGATTCTCAAAAAATTTTTATATAAAAAAAGACTTTTCTTCCTTTGACTTCAGAATATTTTTCTTTTATTTTGCGATTTCTGTATTTTTCATTTAAATGATTAAATTTTAAAAAACACTATTGTTAATATTTAATTGAATTATTTTTAAGAAAAATCTTTTTCTTTTATATTTATGTAATAATATATTATAGAACAGAAAAGGCAAGCGCTCTTCTTCCTTATTAGCGACTAGCGAGTGTATTTTTTTATATGCAAGTGTGGAGAAAATATTAAATTAAAATTTACACACAAACTATCAAAAGACGTCTTGTCTCCTCGACGGCTAATGAGCGAAAAGGTGAAGAAAAGAAATGAAAGAGAAAAAATCTTTTTAAAAATAAAAACAAAATCAAAATCAACATATTATTATGACGTTTAAAAAAGTTTCCATTTACTTCTCTACTACAAAGTTCTAAAAAGTATCAAAATGTCATTTTATTTATTCCATTGAAGATTATTATATGTCGAATAGTGAATAAATTTCGACTTTTTTCGTATTATTTATGCGAAACTAAAAATTAACCCTGAGATATTGCTATTATTTCAAATATTTAGGAATAACAATTTAGAATTTAAAAATATTATGTAAATAGAGTAGTTGTCAATGCAAAATTAAATTGAAAACAGAATTAGAGCGATTATTCGCGGCGAAATGTCAAAATTCATGTAAAATATTTAAATAGTACTGCCCAAAATCAAGCTGAATTCTTATTTTACCGCTGGCGATTTTTTTTGACATCATTTGTTTCCACATGTATACGCAAAATACAAAACAATTTTACCGTTCCACTGTTGTTCAGGGTAAATGACATTAAAGACAATAATGCATGTATAGTATAACTTTTCTTTATTAACTTCATTTATTCACAAATTGTTGAAATGATTATATAAATCAAAAATATTAAATGTCTTGAAAAACCATTATTTTCTGTGTTTACATTAGAACGGCTAAATAAACATGATAATTTTTATTAGGAAACAATTATTTCTCTCGGCACGTGCAATTGATTTTTTAATTACGTGTTAAAATAATTTAAATTTTCATTCATTAATCTATGCAAAATGTCACTTAAATTAATGCACTTTCCATAGAAATCTATATAATTCATAAAGTTTAAAGTTCGGCACATTTTCAATTACATGACTTTCTCAAAATTAATTGACTTACTATAATTATCTAACCTTAATATATATCAAACGGAAATACATAACTATAATTTTTTTTCATGCAATTTAAGAATGATTTTCTGTGTAATTTAAATAGTTCATTTATATTGAAATTTCACTTTTTCTTTATTAATAATTTATAATTCATCTTTTGTTTTTCGTTTCTTTTTAGAGTTTAATAGGACATCGATTTCTTATCAATAAAAATTTATTAAATCAGAAATTAAATCTCATTGAATTTCTTTTTATTAGCTGATTATTCATTACGTAAATTATATACATATGTTAGTTTTCTTTATGACTGACTATTAATAGATTATTAAACTCGATTTGTTTTTTATTTTTTTAGGGTTTTAATTTTTTTTTTTCGTGTCAATTAACTTAAAATAGTTTTTGAACTAAATTTTGAAATATTATTTTGAACTATCAATTTTACTTTAAAGAAAATGTATATACAAATACATTTACACTTTTTTAATTATTAATTGTTCTAAATTTAAAAATATAAGATAATCTTAGAAGTTTGTTGTGTGCATAAAAATTTAGGTAAGTCAACCATTATGGTTGTGTATAGTATTATTCGATATTGTTATTGATAAATTACAATTTGTTAGAGTTTAAAATTGAATGTTATTTGAATTTTTTGCACATTTCATAAGTGCACCCGAAAGAGAATTAATTAATCATTATGAAATATTAAATATGCCAATATTGACATTACGTTATTTATCTTAAATTTCAATGATTATTACATGTACAATAGTTTTGACAAGCTACCAAACTATTTTAAGTGTCAAACTTTAACACGAAAAATAAAATTTAACTTTGATTTTCATATAATTTTCTCTAGAAGATATTATTTTGTTTTAAATTCGAATGTTGTGAGCGCTATAATCGGCAAATGGAAATTAATTAATTTGTGGAATTTATAATATTGTTGTTATGATTGCAGTTTAATACAGGTATTCACAATTATGAATGAAGTGTCAAAACTAATTTATCTGACGTAAAGCTTTTGAAGTAATAAGACGTAAAAATTGTAAAGATAAACAATGCAATAAAAACAGTTATTTTCATTTTGTAACAGAAACGGTTTTAAATTTAAATATATCAAAAATATCATTAAAAACAATAAAATATCCTTCATATATTTCATAAAATTTATTGATTTAGTTATATGGAAATGAAGAAATACAATGGAATGGAAACAAAAATTACAATGAAGAAATTTGAGCTTTTATCATTGCAATATAAAAAAATAATTAATTCTAAGAATTAAACAAATTTTTTTGTTCTGAAATAATAAGAATTTTAAATAATAATGGTATTTCATACTTAACTACTTGCCTAAAAAAAGAATTTCATAGGAAAATATTATTTTCAATGAAAAATGTTTTTGTTATTTAATTGTCATTTTCTTCGATTTGTTATAAATTCTTACTTACTACTTCCCATTGCATATTATAATTTTTGACAAATAAAGCATGTTGCCAATCATAATAATTATGTAGTAAATATTATTAAATATTTAAAAGAAATCAATAATTTAAGTTAAAGAAAATTTGTATATAATTAAAAGAAATTAAGAAATAATTACTATTTTAAAATAATATTTACATACATGTTAATAAATAAAATTTTCGGTCATCTTACAAAATTTTAACAAATTTTTTAATATTCTAAAATATATTAAAAATTTAAATTAATTTGCATTTATTAAAATCATTAGCCACTGGAAATATGCAGTTTATTAATGAAATTATTTAAGAATTTAATATTTTCTTCCACTTTATTTAAAAAAGTTTCTCATTTTTGGAAATATTGCTTTTATTAAAAATAATTTTAAATAAAACACTTGCTTTTTTTCTGATCCTTGTCCATATAGAAATTTTTAATATTTTTTATATCTCACTTACATTTTATTTATTTTTTTATTTATTTAAAAAAATTCACTTAATTTATTTTAGAATTTAAAAAAATTTAATTATTTTTTTTTTTTTTTTGATTTTTTAATAAAATTAAAATTCCGCTAATTTTTATTTCAAACTATTTAACTTGAAATTTAAATCAATAATGAAACTTTTTCTTTAAAAAACTTAAATAAAGTATTCAAATTTTCAAGCATAAAACATAATAAAAACGTAGAAAAAAATGTGGAAAAATTAAAAAGAAATTCATTTTGTTATCAGTGTTGATAAGTTGAAAGTTATACATTTTTTTTTCAGATTTTAAATACAGTGTGCTTATGAATTTGAAAATTTAAACTGAATTTATGAACCCTTTAGTGTAATATATAATCTTGTTATGTAATAATATTATATATATAAATAAATGAGTTTGACAAAAATTATCGTAAATTTTTCTATAAGGTGTAAACACTTTTTCACAATACGTAGCACGTTTTAATATGACAAAAAGAATTATAGGAATTTTTCTCTAAAATGTATTGGATTTTAATATAAATCTTAAAATTCACTTTTTTTTTTTTCAAAATAACGGTTCTTAAAAATGTCAACGTTATGTATTATCTATTCTTTTATTATAAGCTCTCTATTATAGCCCTTTCAAAAACTGTTTGTTAAAACTTCGTCAAATTTTTTTAAAATTCATGTAGCCTGAGAACGGTTTCGAATTAACACTATGTTTCGAACAAAAATTTTATTCATTTTTGACTTTCTAACCGATGGTATATGGCTGTAAATTTGTTTCTGAATCACCCTGTATATGTATAATAATTATGTATATGTAAATATTTTCTTAAAAAATTAAAAAGAAAAAAGATCAATAGATCATATAATAAAATTTCTATATCAGAAAAAAGTACTATGTATACATATATACATATATATATATATATATATATGTTTATAAGAAAATGCATTGAGAAATTTTTTATATTGCGCAAATATTATCAAATGAAAATAAAATAGGAATAGGAATCTAAGAAGAGTAAAATTTCTTATCATTCTTAAACATTTTAAAATATTCATATACACTACACGTATACTGCTTTATATATATACATACATTGCACGTATGTACACGAGTATATCAAGTATAAGAAATTATGTACGAACTCGTGTTATAAACGTCAATAAATTGTTCATATAATAATATTATAAATAAAAAATTTATGCGTATAAACAATAATATAAATTATAAAGTTTATTTTTTATATAAAAATAATAATTACGCCTTTTTTCAGCATCGTTTGTGGTCAACACCTTTTTCAATATACATACATATATATGTTATGATATGTTATTATCATTGTAATAATGTAATATTAATGTGTGTTAAAAGTATTTTTTTATTTTAGATTGCTGGAGCAGATTGTGGAGCAGATAAAAAAGAGTTTCTATGCATATAGCTAGTACTCAATAAATGGTTGGCGAAATTGAACCACTACCCCAGCGCCACTAATAGTATACTTACGTACTTATTCTATAAGTATAGTGAAACACAATTTTAGTTATTATTAAATAAAGAGTGTATATTTAAAATAATTTATATGTATGTTTTTGAATGTTTGTAATTTGAAAATTGTATAGATAAAATTATGATCCTTTGTATTAGTTATACATTTTTCATAAAATTTATGTAAATTTGTAAAATTCTGTTTAATATTAAGACACAAGCATAATATTTACATAACTTTATTAAAACATTATGTAAACACTTTATATTATGTATTTATTTTGACAATATTATGAAAATTACAATCCAATGTGTTCTTTAAATTACACTTAAGTCTATAAATATTAGCACTATATATATAGAAATATTATAATTTATTTATAAGCTACATTTATAGTTAAATGAAAACATACTTTCTGTTTATTATTAATATTGCATAAATAACGGTGTAGCACCATTTGATTTATATATAAATATTTTACAATTATATATAATAATAAAATTATATATTAGATTGGTTTTTCCAATTTTAGATTATAAATATAAATTTGTACATCATATGCTATAATATAAATGTTATATATAATAATAATAAGAATTGTCAACAATGCATTATATAACGTAATTATAGTGAGTATATAAGACAAATTGTAATTTAGAGTGTAAATAGTAAATATGAATAATATACGAGGTATAACATAATTGAAAATATGTA